GTTATTAAAACATCATAAAATACAACGTAAAAAATTTCACTTGTTTTGATCCCATCTGCAATGCAATGAATGGCAATAGTGACAAGTCACTGACCGAAAGTGATACCTTTCCCTTCACTGCCTAAATCAAAAATTCATGAAGATATTTTAACATAACATTTGACGATTTACATCAACAAAACAACGAAAAATTAAATGTGTTCTCAAAGTCCTAACATGAGTTGTTGCTTTCTTTTCAGGGGTTTCAAAACAAGAATTCTTCATGCCTTGATTAAGAGATAGTTAAAAAATCGATCAGGCAAAAAATAGAAAATAAAATAATAAATACCTTTGAAATCGAGCGCATTAATGCTATCAAACGTTTCGAATACTGATACCATCATCTCAAAAAATTAGAAACGAAAGTTGCAATTGCCCTGTTACCTTTTATCCAATCCATGATTATTATTTTAAAATAAGAACGAATAAAAGAGAAAAAACTATTAAATACAACAATTAATTGGAAAACGTACTTACATCACGCAAAACTTGGCCTATTACCGCATAACGATTCTCATCATTGAATCGCCCCAAATTCATTCTTGAGCAAATCGTGTGCAAACCGCAACTACAATATGGTCGCGATGTCGATTCTAGCCTGAAACAAAAGTCGGCTAATGTAAAAGTGAAAGGAAAGTACCTCAGGACAGTGAATGAAATATACAAAAAAATAAAATCACTGCAAATCTTAAAAATTATCAAAAATCACACAACATGGAATTGGGACCACTGTTCTCATGCCAAGGTCATGAAACGAATTGCAGAAACTACAGCATTACACAAACAATTACCACGGGTGGTCCGTTCTTCCACATGGAACAGGCTTACGCACTGTCAATTCAATAAATATCCACGATGGTACTTAGTCATTAGTTTTGAGCTTGTAATTAGCATCGTCCTTTTAGAGAGGTATGTCTGAAACTGGCTAACTGTCTTCTTAAAGTAATGACCAAACATACACGTACATAATCTGTAAACTGCAAAGCAAGGCGCTTATCCATTGTGTCACTAGCCATTTTTTCGCAGAGATCTTCACATCGACTGCATGAGGAATGCGAGATCATCGTATAATTACTTACATCACGTGAACTTATAGGCAGCCTTGGAGAAAATCCATTTATTGCTAAGCAAAACCACAATTGACAGAGACTGTCTTTGAAATATGCATTTACTTAGGAGAATCCCGTCCGCTTTGTGCTGATGATTAAATGTCTGACATGAAGTTACGTGCGTAACGTCTTCATGAGGGCATACAAAATTTCTACGATTTTCTTGCTCATTCTAATCGCGCAAGACGTTTAGCAACCAGGAATGAGAGACCGCTTAATTTTTTATTTTCTGACTATTTTATCCTATTATTATCAGTATGCAATTAACTTAAAAATAAAACACTGTCCTACTTTCCTCCTGGCAAAATGCTGAACCAAAAACTGAATTCGTCGTGCGACGCAGAAAGTAGAATTTTTTGCCCTGCGGTCACTGGAGTCGAAGATTGTAAGTAATAGACACCCTGCATCCAGTGATCTCGCCACTAAAACAAGATTCATTAAATAAAACAACCAACTACGATATTTCCTATGGTGTTTAAAATCATGAAAATAAAAGCAGATACGGATTAATCTGAGCTGTTACAGTGTGAGTTCAAAACTCTCGTAACAATCGAAAGAAACCTGATGTCATGGGAGGGATCAATAAGGAAAAAATTTTTACTTTACATATTTAAACAAGACGAATTCATGTTTTGGTTTCGGCTGCAGTTTGCTGCTCCCGTAAGCGAAGTAACGAAACTCAAGGATTACCACACTTTTGAAAGAAAGCTTTAAAGATTAAACTTTGTCTAATAGCACTGATATGGAATATGTTAATGATTGGGTGACAGTATGACCGTGTGAGGAACAACTATGTTCTGACTGACATCAGAAATTACCGAAGGGGCCCAAGGCTAAAATACTGGCAGGATTCAGTCGTTCATATGTAAGGATTTTTCGTTGACTCGCAGATTTTGGATACCCCAGTTTACCATTCAGCCGTCGTTTCGAGCTTACGATTTCAAAACGGTAGCAAAGAAATGATGCATTCTGTTACGTTTATTGTTATGTCATCATACTCCAATCCGGCTGATTATGAATTTGTTCATATTTTTACAGTCTACAGTTTTATTGACATTCATTTAATATTTAATTTGTGCAGATTTGTATTTTATCTGTGTCAGAAAATATTTTTACTGATTTTGGTTAACCAGCAAAACGTCAACTGCTTGCGTGAAATTATTCTTATTAAGTGAAGCATTGCGGGAGAGAGGCAGCCGCGCCCTGGGTAAATAGGTTGCTTTGAAGCTTAAAGTGCCTGGTTCAAAACTCATGTGCCGTAGAAACTTTCTCTCATTAACTGCTAATTTCCCTGAGCAATGAATTCACCCCCAATGTGCATAGGCCCAATCAGCCGAAAAATGGGCAGTAGGTCGATGACGTGGTACTTGGTGTGGTTGTATCAAACTTTGAGATTCATATCGCCGTGTTGCCCGATGCCAATACGCCTTGAAACACCTGAGAGTCAACAAAAATCAGAACAAGGTGTAAACGTAAAATTTAAAAAATAACATTGATCAACATATTTCAGGTGCTCCAGTTCACCCCTTAGATGTCTCTTGCTCTTGGAGTATCAAACTGCGCAACATAACCGGCATCAAACAAGGTATTTTTCTTCCTTATAAAACGCATGAGCTGCAGCATGGTAAAGCCATGGAACTATAGTACTGGCATTTAGTATCAGGAGGATATTGCCCCTCAAAACAGATGTAGTGGCATTTTAAACAAATCTTATTCGAAAACAAGCCGCAGAACCCACGCTTTTATGTACTAGTTAAGTATATGCATTTAAGGTCCATTTTTCACACGATCAAATCTGCAAATTCTATATACCTCAGGTGATGGATTGCCAGCACTTCGAGGCTGCGTTGAAATCACATTTTTGCCGGAATCATCCATTTGCAATTCCCACCACAGCAACACAGCATCTGCTCGACTTGAACCAGCACATTTAACTTCGATACTACAAACGTGACTTTCATCAAACATGAGGCTTTTTGCATCCTCAAAATTAAACCTGAAAAGACATAAATACTACGAGACACATAAGATTCAAAAATTCGCTGTCTTACTCAAAAATTTTTATTGCGTCCGAAAGGACGTGATAATAATGAATGGGCAAACGGTCAAAATGGATATCGTGAACGGCTACCGACCCCGGACACTTGGCGCAGATATCCGGCACTCTGATTTTCACCTCACCGT